CCCTTATTGGGTCTGTCTCAAGCTCAAGTCTTGACTAATGAGCTTGAGACAGATGTTGAATTTCATGCATCTTTGTGCTGGAAAGAACAAAGTGAATGTAATTAATACACTGAACAATAGGCTTAATAAACCAGAGGGCAATGACAATGATCTATGGAGAGGAATGTGTGTCAAATTGAAATGACTACAGTGGAAAAACAAGAAATACAAGGCAAACAACATTACTTTTTCATAGTCACATGCAGGATATGTGCCAAATTGAACAAAACCTCTATTACATTGTTTTTCCACTGCTTGATCTCTTTAAAGAAAAACAAAAGATGAGGTTTTGCATTAAAAAAAAATGAAACACTAAATGTGTATTAAAATTATATACAATCTATTTTGAAATGTAGTGGAAGGCATGACTATACTGCTTTCCACCATACACTACCTGAAACAGATTTGCCTCACTGAAATACCATCGTAACAGTGAAACTAATGAAATACAACGCACATATGACATTACTTTTCATAGGTAAAGTTCAGAATAAGTGCCAAAACAAAAAGGAAAACCTCTTCTACAAGGTTTTCATGTTGCTTGACCTCTTTTTTGTATATAGATAGATAGATAAATAGATAGATAGAACTTGTTGATCCCGAAGGGAAATTGCAGTGTTTCAGTAGCAAGACATATAATTGCACATAAACTTACATATGCTATGCAGAAAATAAAAAAAAATAGAAATAAAACTAGACATAAGTTAAAGTATAATAGAAATAAAAGTATATCTATTTGCATATTTACATATATGACACAGATTTGTTGTATTTACATGACAGCAGGCACTGAGTGGTATGAGGTAAACTAAAAGCACAATGATTATAGACATAACTGACTCAGAGTTGCATCGATATTACAGTGTAAAGTGCGCAGTGAGAGTCATTACAGTAGCAGTTATGATATACTGCACAGTGTGTATTAATAGGAGAGGAGATACAGTGATGAGGTTCAGCCCAGTTCAGACAGCAGGAGATCAGTAACGTCTCTGCAGTAAGAGGGTGGTAAGAAAGATCTCACACAGCTCTAACACAGCGCAGCTGTAACAGCCGGCCACTGAATGCGCTTCTCTGTTTATCCAGTATAGCATGCAGGGGGTGTGAGGTGTTGTCCAAGATGGCTAACAGCTTGTACTTTAAAGGTATTTTAGAAATGCAACCAAAACAGTGAAAATCAATGCACACACAAGATTGCATTTAAACAGTAACAATCAGAAAATTGTGCCAAAATACAACATAAAAGACCCATTTAGAGCAGGGGCAGCATAATATTTATCGTCGCTGTGAAAAAAATGTGTCACAAAAAGCTTTTCTGTGTGTACTGCGGATATCTTCAGTACTTAAAAACACTTTTCAACCGCATGTTTGATTACAGAGAGATCACAATCAGTCCTGTTTAATTGGATTTAGTGCAGCACAGTGTGTGAAATGTTCTATACAAATAACTGGATCCACGGTTTTTGATATTGTTTAAATGTGCCACTACTTCATCTGTTCCCATCGGTTAGATGTCAGAAAAGTTGGAAGTACTGCACTGGCATTAGCTGTGACGTTATTACATTTATCAGTAAAGAGGTCAAGCAGCGTGAAAACAATGTAATAGAGGTTCTTTCATTCATTTGAGCACATACTCTGCGTGTCACTATGGAAAAGTAATGTCATGTAGAACTGGGCGATACAACAGAAAGTAATATCACGATATTTCAAGTGTTTCACGATACATGATGTGTCACGATATTTATGTTTTCTGACATCTGATGAGCTGGAACAGACAAAGTAGCACCACATTTTACAAATACTAATAAAAAAAATGTGAATCCAACATTTCACTCTCTATGCTGCACTACGTCCAATTAAACAGGACCAACTAAGCTCTCTTTTTAATCAAACAGCTGTAAAAAAGTACTGATAATATCCATGATATGCTCAGAAAAGCATATTGTGACATACTGTGATGTATTATACGCTGATAATGATATGTTGCCCAGCTCTAATGTCATGTGTGCATTGCATTTTCACGTTTTTCCACTGTTGTGACTGCTTTTCAATCGGCAGAAGGCAGCTTAGGCTTCATAAAATAGCTGGTAATAAACAAAACCAACTCATTACCTGCAGGTTCCCCTCTTGCACGCCGGTACAGCGATCCGGTAAGCTAACTCGATATGTTCCTGTGTGATGTCCTCTGGTTTGACTGTATCGACCCATCGCCAAGCGGCTTTCTCCAGCTGTAGACGAGGAGCCATTCTACAAACAAACACGAAACTTAAGTCATCCTTATTCGCCAGCATCTTCTTCGAATTTCCCCGTTCCACCTTAAACGGTGCAGCAGTTCCATTCTGGCGCCTGAGTTGCCACAGTGTAACCGCTGCACCTTTTAAGGTGGAACGGAAAAATTCAAACAAAAAGCTGGCGAATATGAAGAAACCAACTCCTGCCTGGCCAAACAAACCAACAGCGTCCAACAAACGACAACCAAGTCCACAACAATCAACACAGACCGGAGTTTAACAGAAACAAAGTCAAGTGAACTCTCCGCTGCGTTACATTAGCCAGCTTGCTAATCATTTCCCAACGTTCCAGATAGACTCCGTTAGCTTAGCTTAGCATAGCTGCGCCAGAATTATGCCGATATTTTGTCTACAGTGCATTTATTGGAAACTTACTCCAAGGACAAAGTCAGTCACCTAGCTGACTACTTAGCGACCGGCACCGCTAGGATATTTATAAACTTCAAACTGTTCTTTGCCTGCTGGTTTAGCATTAGCACGAAGCTAAAGGTATCCTGCCGTATTATTATGCTGCGCAGTAGCTTAGCTTAGCTTGAAAAGCTAACTAGGTACGATGACTAAATCAGCAAAGCATCATTTAAACAAAAAAAAACGTGAGCTCGAACCTTGCTTGTATGTGCCAGAAACCTCTGTTAATGCAGCTGCTTTAATATTTGTATTTTTTTCACATTTTATTCGGAGTGTGTTTGTATTTAGCGCCCTTCTCTCTGTTTTTAAATTATATATTTTTTCCCCCTTCCTCACTTTCAAACTTGTTGGAGGCGTACGTGCAAACGCCTGACGTACTCTTGACGTACGCGGGCGCGTCCCAATCGATGTACCCGCGTTCTAACTAGGGCGCTTAGCTAGGGAGAAGTCGGGCTCCTGCTGTTGGGTTCCAAACGGTAAGAAAACGTCTAGGGTGCAACAACGCGCTGTTGGTCAAACTCGCCGCTCAGAGTACAGCTTACTAAGGAAGCCCATTTCAGCCACTGTAAAAAAAAAACACATAGCCACTTAGTAAGACATAAAAATAAGAACGTTTTCCATAATTATAAGAAAGTAAGTCATAATTATGACATAGTAGGTCATTATTATGGGATATTAAGTCATAATTATGAGATATTAAGTCATAATTATGAGATTGAATCTCATTTTTATAAGATATTAAGTCATAATTATGAATTTTAATCTCATTATTATGAGAAACTAAGTCATAATTGTGAGAAGGTAAGTCATTATTAGGAGATACTAAGTCATTATTATGAGATGCTAAGTCATGATTATGGGAAGATTACTCATAATAATGAGATATTAAATTATAAGACTGAATCTCATTCTTATGAGATACAAAGTCATAATTATGGGAAAGTAAGTCATTATTATGAGGTGCTAAGTGATGATTATGGGATATGAAGTGATTATTATGAGTCATAATTGTGGAAAACTTTCTCATTATTGTGAGTTGCTAAATTATTATATTTTTTCCAGTGGCTGAAACGGGCTTCCATATTTTACCATTACTCAAACTGCATAATCTCCTGTGTAATATTCCCTACTTATTTAGGTCCAACCCTCATGACAAATAACTACAGCAATACTGCAGATTTTCTACAGGATTTTTCAAAGGATCTTCTAATAAATACAGACAATTACTACAGTTTACTATGTGGTACCACATAAGTACTATGGATTATTACCACACCTTCACCTTTAAACTGGGGTTATGAGGGGTCACCAGAAGGTCTGCGAGTCAGCCGAGGACCACGGGGGAGCCTAGTAAACAGTCATATTTACTCAGGTCTTGTCTTTAAGTAATATTTTGATGCATTTTTGTCTGAAAAAAACAAAAAACAAATGACAGTCTATTTTACTTATTCCTTCTTTGTCTTTAATTTCACTCTGTACCATTTTCCATTTTCATACGATACAGCCTTAATAATGGGGCACATGGCAGCCTGTTTAGCCTTAAATATCCCCCCCCCCCGTCACATCCCCCCCACCCCTCACAACTTCAGGATGGGGTACTTCTCAGTGATATTTGGCACAGAAAGAGGACAAAAAGGTGATTTGATATGAAAAAAAAATAACCATGTACATTTGGTACAGTACTGAGCTCCTAAAATGCCATTGTGGAAAAAAATGCAACGACATTGCAATCCCTTACAATATTTTTGCATTCTCTCACAGTTTTTGCGTTGCCTTGCGATATATTTGCATTCTCTTACAGTTTTTGTGTTCCTTTATATTTTTTGCATTCTCTTCCAAAGTTTTTTGCATTCCCTTGCAAAGTTTTTGCGTTTCTTTGCGATATCTTTACATTCTCTCGCAATTTTTTTGTGTTTCCTTGCGATATCTTTGCATTCTCTTACAGTTTTTGTGTTCCTTTATATTTTTTGCATTCTCTTCCAAAGTTTTTTGCATTCCCTTGCAAAGTTTTTGCGTTTCTTTGCGATATCTTTACATTCTCTCGCAATTCTTTTGCGTTCCCTTGCAATATTTTTGCATTCTCTCGCAGTGACTTTGCTTTCACTTGCAAATGTTTTGCGTTCCATCGCGAAATTATTGCATTTGCAAGGGGATGCAAAATGACTGCAAGGGAGTGCAATATTATTGCGACGGAACGCAAAACATTTGCAAGCGAGCGCAAAATCACTGAGGAACCGCAATTTTGTGGTGTTAATCATGGCCCCTTAGAGGCTCCCTACCAGAGTTTTCCACGTACTTTTTTCTCTGGATAAAACGGCCTATAGGTGGCGCTAAGAGTTCTACTTGGAGACATTTCTCCCTTCTTTCAGACTGGCAACATGAGAACTTCAGACGATGCTGAAGTTCCGACTTCTTATTCGAATTATCCGGCCCACCTTAAATGGCGCAGCGGTAGCCGCGCTGTTTATAATTTAAAATTGTAATTTAACAGTAATTTAAGGTGGACCGGACATTTCGAACAAGACTACCCAACTTAAGCTTTGGCGACGGGGGATGGCGGATGGAGCAGGACTGCCCCTCTTCCAGACCCCAGCCCACCACCTTTTGGGGGGCCGTTGTCATGGAAACGGCACAGGCGCGTGCACTTTGACAAAGGGGGTGATGCTGATGACGACGGCGATGATGACGATGGTAGTGATGAAGGATTCGCCTGGTGGGGACTGAAGAACTAAAGGCTCTCAGAGGTCAGTATTCCGGACCTGCGAGACTAAAAAACGCACGTGAGGTTCGCCATGGCGCTGAGAGAAGCCCCGAGGGGGACCCAGCAGACCTTCTGAACACTTTTTGGAGTCTCACTTACAGAGTTAGAGGAGGACGACATGGCCAGAGTGGGCGACAAGCAGCGTGTTGGTGGTCTCCTGTCCAGATGGTTGGTTCTTCTGAGCGTGATGGGACTGCAGGCTGAAGCCATGGAGACAGGTATGGAGACTGAAGCTCAGCTTTAGAGGTTTGTTCCAAACGTTTGGGACAAACTGCAATTCCAGTGATGAACCACTGTTGAAAATCCTCCAAGACTTAGGCCTAAGTTTAAGGGGGAATTCCACCATTTTTTCAAAATTTCTGAATAATTCAGTCTTTGGGATGTAAACAGAGTCATTCAGAGTGGTTTGGTGTGAAATGGTTCATTGTAGAGACTCAGATTTCTTTACAGTGGTGGTGATAGGAACCAGACGTCACAATGTCTACAACACATATCAGTGAACTTACAGTGAACCTACACATCTTCTGAGCTTTTATATGTAACGTTGATGATGGTAAAATAGTCATAAAACTGAAAAAACAAGTTTTCTCTGAGGACTATTTTGCCTCACAACACCCTGCATGTACCCCTCCGCCAGGAATAGGTTCAAACAAATGGGTTAAAATACATTTCAAGCCAAAACTTTATCACAAAACTATCATAAAACAATGTCGCGGACATCAGGCCGCATATATCTGACCATTTCATGTAATAACTTGCTGTGAGGGAGCTTTCAGAGGTGGACGTCCGGTTCCTATCACCACCACTGTGAGTCACAATTCTGACTCGTTTCTTTAGAACGGCATCTCACACCAAACCACTCTGAATAACTTTGTTTACCTATTAACCATTAAATTGTGCAGAAGTTTTGAAAAATCGGTGGAGTTCCCCTTTCGACTAGGCTGCACAGTGACTTATTATTTTCCCTCCACTTTGATTGTGCTTATTCATGTTTAAAAGCTCCATATTTGTCTTGTGTTTAGTGAATATTTTTTCCTCTGGAATCCACTTATGAAACCTGTGTGCCAAAAATATTAATATTTCATTTTTTTTATGTTTCAGTCCAGACAGAAATACTCATTATAATGTCGACCTGGCCAAACTGTGGTAGACTGAATTGGCAGATGTATGTAAATGAGTTTTGCAGCATCACAATAGCAGTGAATTCTAAGCAGGTTTTACTTTAGTTTCTACCGATTTTAGGTGTATCATGTTTAGAACAGAATAGGGCCTGACTGATATATCAGTTGATTGGTATATTGATTGATAATCCACGTTTTTACTACTGTCTATTCGTCTGTGGAGTGAATGGTACATTAAAAAACTTACAGCTTATTATAGCTTATATGTTATCATTAAGACTAAATGAACAGAGGGACCTCTATACCCAGAAAGCATGGCTTGATTTGGACAACAAAACCATGAACTGAAATCCGAAAAGGTTTTATTTGATAAGTGCTGGTCTGGAATTACGACAGTCATGCAGCGAATGGATGTTTCTCTGTGGTAGTTTACTGGTCTTGATAACTAGTGGGAACCTGCTTTGGATCTAGACCGTCCGTTTTTATTTCAACCAGTAAAGTCGTTTACGAGGAACTCGCCATTCTGGCCTTGCTCATTTTTAGCAAACTCAGTTCAGGGAACATGGTTACGGAATATTTTGAAGTATTGTTTCTTTCCCACTGATAGAGGCTTTCTCAGGACATTCCAGGAAGTCAGGCATCAGGGGTTCACCGGTTGCCCTTGGCGACAAAGCTAATAAACCCTGGAGCGGTTATAAATCTTTCTATTATTTGGTTCTTGCCCCAGATGGGTGGACACAGAGCCAACTCCCCCTTGTGGTCTTGCTAGATAAACAATTAAGGTTTGCTTTGGGCTCTTGTCCACCATTATAACTATTTCAGGACAGTACAGTAGGTCAGGCGAATGGCGCGGATGTCTGTGTACGTCCGAGGAACGTACAGTGTATATCACTGGAGGGAAAGACTGTGGAATGCAATTAATCTCACGAGCGGGTAAATGTCCCAACAGTGAACGTGGCAGACTTCTGTGGCCAGACGGTCCAGGCGGACGGCATGATCGTCAGATCCCACCAGGAGTCGCGTAAGTACTATTTCGTCACCATGGGAACGGACTGCCACCTCACCATGCGGTCCGCGACACCCCGGGACAAGGTGCAGTTCCACTTCCGTTTCTTCCTCGTCTACAGCCTGCTGAGGGTGTCCCCCTTTAGCCCCGTGCCCCTCTCACCCGAATCCGCCAAGGGCCCGCCGCTTTCGGGCCCTACGCGGCATGAGATGAGAATTGAGCCCACTCCGGGGGAGGGTACGGCCGACCCCTGCCATGCCGGCTCTTACATCCAGTTCTATGATGGCCGGGATAAGACAGCGCCCCCTATCGGCCCGCCGCTGTGTGGCAAGAGCCCACCACGCCCGATCCTGTCAACTGGACCTTATCTGACTCTGCGGCTGGTGACCAGGGGGACCCAACCCCGCGTGGACTTTGTGGGGGACTTTACCTCATTCAGGCTGGGTAAGGTTTACGATCATATGCGGAAAACATCCAAAGAATTACTTTTGCTCTAGTTCTATACTAAGGTCTGACCTATATGAGAATTTTGCGGTCAGTACTGATTTTAAGTATGCAGTGTTTAACGATTATGTGTATGGAATAGGGCCCGACCGATATATCAGCAGGCTGATATCGATAACCCACACTTTTATAGGTATCTGCGAAAATATCAATAAATATTTTAGGTGCTACAAATTCTGATAATTTTATATATTTCACTTCTATACTCCTGTAGTTTTAGGTAAATGGTGCTTTACAGACAGATATGTATCACACTTCTTAAACTCAGCGCCATAAATAGTATTAATATTGCAGCACTAGAGGTCGAGCTACCCAGAATTCCTTGCAGGTTTGGTTTCTGTTTATAAATGTAAATATAAAATGTAAATATAAAATTATTTGAGCCGATATTATAAGTTTTCAGAATTTTAAGCCCCTAAAATCGGTAGTTATCTTTTCACAGATACCAGTAATACCAAAGGTTATCAGTATCAGCCCTATCGGTCTGATATATAGATATAAAACTGATATATCGGTCGGGCCCTATTCTATACAAATAAGCCCTCAACATAGTTATAAAATTTGAATGTAAAATGGTACAGTATTAATTAATATCAATAATCGGAAGACCACTTTGTGAGCCTGTATTGGTCCGGCCCATAATATTTACAAAATACAATTTACAAATTGTAATGTACAATATAAATATATAATGTGATGCCAAGTATGGACTCGGGCTGTCACTGCCAATTCTTTTAATGATTAATCAAGCAATCCTAATAATGCAAGTTTAAAAAAAAAGGTCCAAACAATAAAAAAACAATTAAAAAAAAACAACAAATACAAAAAAGGCTGTTTTAGAGCTTAGTTTCCGTATATGGATCCTGGGCTTGAGAGTGAATTATACATTTTAAAACTTGAACAGTTTTACATACTACAGGAAAGGCCTCTATTTCAATAAAAGTGAGGAAAGTTTGGTTTTTTAAGACCAAAAAGACTTAAAAAGGCAACAAAAGAAAATTAGTATGAAAATGAATATGAATCGAAAATGAATATGAATCGAAAATGAATATGAATCGATGTGTCCATCAGGCTCTGTTTCGTACTGTAAGACAGAGCAGTAGGAGAATAAATTATGGATTATCATCATGCAAACTGCCAACCAATCACTGCTGATTCACTGGGAAGTTATATGTTCCATTTTAATAGATTTTTTTAAATTGAGTTTAATCAATGATTGTGACAGCCATTCTGCTCTTGTATATAGTGATATACAATAGTTATCTGAACAGGTTCACTCAGTGAGTTTGCAAAGCGAATTGAATTCAGAAGATGCAGCAGAATCCCTCAAACAGCGCTCCACTGGAGGACGAAGTTTTTGCTTGTTGGAACAGTAAGCTGTTCGTTGTTGTAGCTAGATCAGCAGAGAAGGTGTGAGGTCCTCTGAAGGCTTGACTCAGGCTAAATAGGCCACATTAGCTTCTGTGTTGATTCCTAAATGAGTGAGTGTCGCTGTGTGGCTTTGTAGGGTTTAATCAGTCCGAATGCAGCGGCGAGCCCTACTTCAACTGCCGCAATGGAAAGTGCATCCCAATGAGTCTGGTTTGCGAAGATGACAAAGGAATCGACAACTGTGGCGATGGCACCGACCTGCAAGACTACCCAGGATGCATCAGTAAGTACCTTCTGGCAGCCATTACACTGAACATTCCTATACAAAATATCATTGATTTGCATTGTATTCAGAGTTGTATATTTAGAAAGTGCTATTTTTTATTACTTTTCAGCCATTATTGCACATACATTCGTAAAAGTTTAAACACCCCCAGATAAATGTACACATTTTGTTGATTTTCTGAGTGAAAATAAGTGATAAAATGTACACACACACACACACACACACACACATATTTATGTATATATACATATACACACATATTGCTGCTGTCGGAACAAAACTTCGTGCCTTTAAAAGACGGTAACTTTACATGACAAGGAAAAACGTTCTTAACTTTTAATGGAATTAAATGGAGAATTTTTGGGGGGTAATTGTGGGTAATTTTGGACCATTTCTGTCTGTGGGACCAACAGAAATGGTGGGACACTCTTTTTCAAATTATGTCAAAAAATGAAAAATGACTGAAATAGAGACACTAGGTTTCATCCCAACCCAGCAGAAGTTATATATATATATATATATATATAAAACTGTGCATTTAAATGTGCAATTTTATATAAGTGTGCTCTCTGTAGAGGTTGTGTTAACAAAACATGCCACTCGACCAGGGGCGCCTAAACATTAGCACACAACTGAGAACATAGCATTACCACGATTCCAGAGACATGGCTAGTAGTACCCTGCGAATTCACTGTTGAAAGCAAAGGCATATTGTTTATTATGTTTCAGCTCTGCCATCCTTGCCGGCTGCGGACCGCCAGCCCTACGTAACCCCTCCTGCTCCCATACTGAACAAGCCCACCCTCAGGGCATCGACTATAGAGAAGTGCAGTGGCCCGAACGCCATCCCTGACCTGGAGTCTGTCACGGGTAGGCTGTTTATCCTTCTCCTTCAGCTTCCAGCTCTTACACAGGTTCTCTTGTGAGTGATTCTCAGTGTGAATTTAGAATTTTCTGACTACTATTAGGGACGACAAGATGGCACTGTTATACTGTAAGTAGATTTCTCTGTTACACTGCTGATCAAAAGCATGGCACTAATCCGATGCTGGTAAGTTGTTGGATCAGATATCGGAGGAAATATGAATAAATTGGATATGACTCTGTCACAAATCTAGCCTGAAATAGCACAAAATTGGTTGTAGAGCCACAAGAGTGTAGTAAAGTAAGTCACGTTATAAGTAAGGATGTACAAGCATTCTTGGCCAGGATAAAATAATTGCTTAAATCATGAAATTGACAGTTATATTGGCAGATCTGCACTGCATTTTTATGAGGTCAGTAACCTCGACCAGTGCACTTGTGCTGTATTTGAATGCTGCTACTACACCTGTATCAAAATGTTGTAGCATAAATAATGACACATTGTTCTGATCAGCCTCATGGTTTCAGTGTAGGGCTTTATTTGATTCATGTTATTTAACATTGAACTTGAATTGAACTTATTTAACATGATTTTAAATGTCAGTTTGACCCATTAAGAAGCAAATAATATTGTTTATATAGTGAAATTGGCTAAAAGAAACTATGGCAAATACGCTAGTGCATTGAAAGTGTTCATTTAGGCCACAGTATGGAAAAAATATTGGCCAGTATGGATGTAAAGAAATCGGAATTGGCCATAAAAGTTCATGATCGGTGCATCCCCATTCATAACATCAGTAAAAAACCATTATAACAGCACATGCTAATAGTAAGGGTGGAATAGTAGAGTATTTGAGTAGTTTGAACTACTATATAAATACATGGATATTATATAAATATTCTTTTTTAAAGCTTAGTAAATTTAAAAGAAAAAATGGTAACACTTTACTGTCACTTCATGACAACACATAAGCCTACATAAAGGTTTATAAATGCTTATTCCAATAGGTCTCATACACTATAAAGGTCCTGTCTGCCAGTTTTGATGGCCAAGTAGCCTTTATGACAGATGATGCTTATTGGAATAATGTATGCATGTCGGGTTATGTCAGTTGTCACGACGAGCTTATGTAGGTGTCATGTAGCCTTAAGAACTACACCCTCCACTGAAGTGTTGACGAAAAAATTCAGAACAGTATCAGAAAAGGGAAAGTGGCGTCACATCATCTCCATTTGGAATCACTTGTCATATTAAGGTCAAGCTGAAATCGACCTTTTTTACCTTGTTCCTGCTTATAATAAGATCAATGCATTGTATTTTATCAATTAAAAGATGTAATTTACTACCTAAATGTAATGACTATTGCCAGACAAGGTCTTCTGATTTTTTATTACATCACTGCGCACAAGCGGGCAGGGAAAAATGATATTAACCAATGTTATCATGTTTCACCTCCACTCTCACCCCCACCTATTATAGAGAGGAAACACTCAGTTAGCTCAGAGACCCTCCCTCAGACCTCATTTCGCTCAGAAATATGTCACGGTAGTGAAGAAAATGCTCTGTTTCTCATTCAAACCAACTTTTCTGATTCCTGCAAATTAAGGAATAGCCTACGTAAAGTAGAGCGATCACTAAATCACATATACAAACAATATGAAATCATAACAGTAAAACATTTAAAGTCAATGAAGTCTTTCTAAAAAGTGGCGGAGCAACTGATCACGTGAACAACATGGAAATTCTTGTAGCTTACAGAAACGATGGAGCCTTCAGTCCGACGACCACAGCTGCCCAGCAAAACACCAAAAATAACCACTCTGTGGTTTAATTCCTGCTTTGTGTTTACTGGGAACAAATGGCGTTTGGTGAAGTTACTTCACAGTGAGCCTGATGACCATGACTGCCGTGCCATGAAGTTATTTCAACAGAGGATAATGTATCAGTGAACAGACTGTGTTAAGTATTGGATGTCAGTTCGCCTTGACAGATCTGTGCGGGCGGGAGCGGGACAAAACCTTCCGGTTGCGGGCGGTAGCGGAACAAATGTTTCCGATTTTCTGCGGAAGTGGGATGAAATAGCGGGCGGGAGTGGGACTGAGAAAACAGCAGACCTCTCCTGGCCCCCCATCCGCTCGCAGCTGCTCTCTCGGCCGTTTGGTTTTATGTCTGCGTAATGTTGTAACTGTGAATGACAAAGAGGATGAGGCTAATTGGGGAGCACGTGAATGCTCACTGCATCGTCCTATAGACACAGCTATAAATCAACTGTCAGCGCTAGAGTCTGGGATCAGATAGTGCCCTAAAACCATTGTGGGATTGATGTGTCTGCAAATAGGTGCTACAGTGCTTTGCCCCAAATTGGCTCTTTGTATTTGGAAAGTCCACAAGTGTTCAAAGAAGTAGAGCAATAAACTTCAGCCGTAATGAAACTTGGTGGGTTACAGTGGCATCACTGCACCAGCAGCATGACAACAGTGTTAAAGACAATGGTTTCAAATCAACACTGTTCTCCCCTCTGACTAAGACCGGGGCATCGTTCAGAGTTTTTCAGTAGCAGTACCTTGACTTTGATACAGAGTCCTGAGGCTTTTAATTTACACACCTGAAAGTGGGTGTGGCTTAACCCAGAACAGCCAGTCAGCGGTCAAGAATAAGCAGACTTATTAGGCCACAGATGCTGATTAGACAGAAGTTTTGCAGCAAATGACATTTTTTAATACTCAGTAGTATTTAAGTAATCAGTACCATAAAAGTACTGAATTTAGATACAGAGCTCTACTCCTGACCCTAATTGTAGTCGGTCAGCCAAAACGTGTTTGGTGTCTGAAGCTTTTTTAGTTTTGCACTGGAGCTACGAGGCTAATGTAGCCAATGTCATTTTGAAGCCTGCATTATGTCTGGTAAGGTGTAAACATGGACATAGGGGTGGGGGAGGGGTGGTGGTGTGGGGTTTCAGATTTCAAGATTGTTTAACTGCTAAAAATTATTTAAAAAAAGAACTGAACTCTAGGCAGTAAACGTGCAATTAATTAAAACTTTAGTAATTAAAAATATGAAATATATGTGAAATATGGAGTTATTATTAATTCATGTTTAATCCTAAATTGATATTTGATATTAATATTAAATATGAAAAGGAAAATATCTAACAAAACCTATTGTGTAAACATGCGATTTATTAAACCTTTACAATTATTAAATAAAAGTAAATGAAAAACGAAATATTTAACATTAACATTTAACATTAATATTCAATATTAAAATGAAAATATCTTACAAAACCTGTATTTTTATTGTGTAAACCTATAGCAATTATTAAATAAAAGTAATTAAAATATTAGTTTTAAACATTAATATTTAATAGTTTAAATATTAATTTTAAACATTAATATTTAATATTATAAATAACATGCAGTTATTATCAATTCCTGTTTACTATTAAATTAATATTTAACATTAATACCAAATATTAGAATGAAATTATCTAACGAAACCTGTATGTTTATTGCGTAAGCATGCAATTTATGGAACCTATAGCAATTATTACATCAAATCAAATCAAATATTAAAATATTAAACAGTAATATTTAATATTAAAATGGAAATATCTAACAAAAACTGTATGTTTATTGTGTAAACACACAATTTGTTGAACCTATAGCAACTATTATATAAAAATAATTAAAATATAAAAAAATTAAACATTAATATTTAATATTATATGTATTTTGCAGTTATCAGTGCATGTTTAATATTAATATTTGATATGAATATTAAATTAAAAATATTAAAATATCTTAGGAAACCTGTATGTTCATTGTGTAAATGCACAATTTATGAAACCTACAGCAATTATTACATGAAATATAATGTTATAAAATAAAAATAAGTCAAATATTAAAATAGTCAACATTAATATGTAATATTATTCAAGATATTCTTATTTATATTTAATGTAATATGCAATATGATCATCTGTCCTGTTGTTCCCTCAGACTCGCAGCAGTACGTGTCCCTGCTGGCACTGTACGTGGTTCTGGGCGTGGCGGCCGGCTCCGTGCTGCTGTGCTGGTGTTGCTGGTCGCCCGGCTGGTTCCTCTGGAGGGTGAGTGTGTGTCGCTTCCTGCCCTGCTGTAACTCCTGCTGCGCCTCCTGTCAGCTCTGCGGCCGGAGCTGCTCCCAGAACAAAGAGCATCGTCTGGCCAAGGTCACGCCCCAGGCTGCCCCCTCGCCCGTGGCCGCGGCGACCACCGTGGCCGTGTAGACTCCGAGCCATAAAGGAGCAGAGACTGGCGGGAAACAGGCAAGAGCTCCAGGATGGACTCTCAGGCTTTTGTCTGACGAAGGAGGTCACTGATGTGGTAAAGTATGTATGATGATTAGGGCCTGACCGATATGAACAATATGTCACGACTGCTGATTTTAAGGAGTTCTATTAAGATTAGTGGACATTATTTTATATGGTCAGTGAAACAACAACAATAGTGCTGATATGATCATCAGTTGTCAACTGTAAAATATGATTATTGTCAGATTTCTTAAACTCAAGTAAACAGTTGTTTTTGTTGTTTGAAACAGCAGCACATGTAGTTTTTCTCATATAGTGTTTAAAGAGACTGATGCCAATAAATCCATGGAACATTTATGTTATCAGCCAAACGATGTATCAGTCTGTCCCTAAAAACGATAATAATCTGCTGTAACTGTATAATAATAATATGCCCATCACGGTTGGAACAAAACCTTGCATCTCCATTTTTTTCATTTTTGATTTTTTTTAGCATACTTTGAAAACTCCAGCTGTCATATATAATGTGTTTGTATTTCATGATCACGCCTAGAAAAATTTAACTCTTTTTTAATTGGTTTCCTAGCAAAAGTCTTGCAGCACTTTCACTACCAGAGAACTTGTAGAGAGGAGAATTACTGCTCTGTAGTGTCTTCTGGATTTCTCAAACGCTAGAGGGCGCTCCCAAGTCCAAAATGAATGGGTTGAGATGGAGCATTTGAGCAAATCATAGTTTATAAATGCTTAAACGTTTTAATGTAAGACAATACAGTGATTTCCAGAAACTTTTTAACAGTGCTCTTATATTTTTAAGAGCTTTTAAACTCGAGTTATAGGAATTTAAAACGGCACCTCATGTACCTCCATGACATCAGTGAGCACAAACAGCCAATGAGCTGCTCTGCTCGCCAACCAATCAGCACTCAGTAGCAGTAATGCCAGCGTCCTGCTGCCCAAAACACATGTGCTGTAGAAAAAAGGAAATATGTAGGTAAGTTCTCTTTATTTTTTTAGATAAATACATCCTTCTACTTTCTAAAATTAAAGGAAAGTTCTGGGCGAGTCTTTAGAAACTCTTTTAACTTTTCATTTGTAACCGTTGAGCTCCATTTACTCCCATTCATTCGCAGGCGCCCTCTGCTGTTTTGTAGTCCTGTTTTTGACATAACGAGGGAAATAGGAAGTGGCCAGGCTCCTCATAAACCGGCTCTGTTCACTACATCTATTCATAGTATTCGATTACGTCATTAAGAAGACCTTGTTGCCGTTTTGGAAGCCAAGCTGTACCTCTGACTGTGCTCTGATAGAGCTCATCTCATCGCCTTTACTGCAGTCACAAGAGGATAAAAAACAACCAAAATAGACCAGAATGACCACTAAAAACGTTTAAAGACATGTAGACGCTTTAGATTTGTCTCCAGAAAATGCTACGAGAAGATTAGCTAGATTGGTGGATCCGTATAATGTGCAGATCTTCAGAGCATTCAGGACATTCCAGTGTGTGATATTTTATAAAACTAATAAAAGTGGCTATCAAAGCTGCCAAAGCTCTTAAATAATAAACTCATACATAAATATTAAGCTCAAGTCGGCTCCTTATTCACCATCTTCTCATTTAAATTTTCCGTTCCACCTTAAATGGTGCTGTAGTTACACTGAGGCGCCTAAAATGTAGAACGAATTCCGAAAGTTGGCGGATACGAAGCTTCAGAAACACCAGTTTACCTCAGTAAATAATCTCCAATCAACAAATACCTCAAACTTTCACTGGGAGATGTTTAACTGTTACTGAGCATCTAATGTGCAGCACAGTGAAGCTATAATCAGCCATTGAAGCTGCTGATCGTGTCTCACTGGCTGATCTAACACTGCATCCCAAACCACACACTTCTGTACCTCACCTACTACACTAATGAGTGCACTAATAATAGTATATGTGCTATTTTTGCATACTATTTAGTGAGCTAGTGTGCGGATTGGAACATGAAAATAATAAAGCAGTGGGGAATCTCAGCTGTTTAGAATATAGCTTTTGTTTGTCATCACTACAACCACAAATCAAATAAAATCAAGCCAGTACACTCAAATACTCTGGTGAATGTGCTTTAAATATTTAAAAAGGTTTAAAAAAACATGTTATACTGCCTTTGCTGGCTCAGTTATGGCTTTATTATCTCATTACACACAGCCACAGCGCTGCGGAATGAACTTGAAGTTGCCGTCCAAAATGGTGGCAGCGCATATGTGACGTCATCATAATACTATCAATACTTCGCTCTGCTCACTGCCCACATCAGCCCGGTTCTCTCAGTTGCAGTGGGCACCTGTTCCTTTACACATCCAGTTTAAGGTCCTTCTCCTGACGTTCAAGGCCCTGAATGGTCAAGCACCCCCTTCTTTTGATGTCCTCCTTCTCCCCCTGTAATCCTGCTCGTACTCTGAGGTCCTCTGATGTGGGCCTCTTGGTGGTCCCTGCCTTTGAACGCTCTACTTTGGGGGGCAGATCTTTTGGTGTTGTGGCTTCTAAACTATGGAACTCTCTTCCTTTATCTCTCTGCAACCGTTCCATCCTTGTCCTCCTTCAAAGTCCATCTCAAAACTTTCCTGTTTTCTCAATACTTTCATTCTTCTTCTTTTTGTTTTTTGTCTATTTATGTATATTTTTTATTATGATCTCCTTGGTGTAAAGTGGCCTTAGGTATAGGTGCTTATTCTTATTATTGTTATGAATGAGACAATAAAAATGCTTCAGAATGACCTGAATAGCAGTAGAAATGCTTCAGAATCTTGTTCCACTGACTTTCATTCAAATTTAAGAATGTTTTTAAAGTTACCATTTTGGAGATACAAGGTTTTAATGATATGTTTTTCTTGTTGCTTTTTATTGAAACCTTTCCAGACTGAAACTCCAATCCTAAAGGGGGGAATTCCACAGATTTTCCTAAATTTCTGCATAGAAACTGTTCAGTCAGAATTGTCCACAGTGGTGGTGATAGGAACCAGATCTCTCAAAGCTCCCTCACAAAAGGTTATTACATGAAATGGTAATGAATTCACTGCCTGAGGCCTGAGGCATTGTTTTATATTTGGCCTAAAAAAGATATATTTTTTAAATGAACTGATTGCGGAGAGACACGTTCAGGATTTTGTGGGAAATAAGTACTTAAAGAATACAGTGTTATATTTGTGTTGTACTCATGGCGACCCCTGGTTCCTATCACCACCAATGTAAAGAAATCAGGGTTAGTAATTCACATCAACTATGCAGAAATTCTGAAAAATTGGTGGAATTCCCCTTTAAGACATGTGCATATATGTCCCTAATTAATCTGTTCCTCACTCAGTTTTGTCAGAATTATTCCCAGTTCCACTGTGTTCTTTCTGAAACTGACAATATTCATAAAAGAGGTGATTTCTCCCTCTTCAGAAAGAGTAGTATGGTCACTGCCAGCTACAGAAAGAAAGAGCTGGGGGGCTTTGGGGGGACGAACTGTTCAAATTCTTGACCGGCTCTGTTTCCGATAAAATATTTGTTCACAAACAGCTTCATTATTCCTCCAGGCCTTGTTAAACATGCTTACATACGGCGATTAGTCTGGGTGTCAACCGGCTGCATGTCTCTGATGTGATCTGAGGCATTTCTCTCCCAGCTGTTGCTCAGATACTAAGCTCCTCTCCCTCAGTAGCCAAGCCTTAAAGCCTGTTCTATGCTTTAAGGAGGATCTGTAATGGAGGCCCACCGATGCATTAGGACAAGCGTCAGCACTGCGCTGCTCCAGCAGTGAACTGAAAACAGTGATGCATTGAATTGACTTGATTGTGTACATCATTTCCACATGAATAAAACATACAGGAGTGGAAACAAGACTTTTGCTTTTGTTATTTAATATACTTCCACTGTACGTATCCAAGGTGCGAAATATGGGGGGGTTCTGATGGGTCTGAGACCCCCAATTAACCTTTGGACCTCCTGAATGTCTGAAAATCGAAATTCTTGGGGGTCCCTGGAAATAAACTTGATGATGTTATGCTGTCTGTTAGGGAAAATTAGACACTCAAATACAAATTCAGAGAAGCTCATTGTTTATCTGCTTCACCCACCAATCAGATTCTGTCTTAGGTGTTCTTAAATAACTAGAGCTGCAACACTGCTCTGCCTCAGGGTGGCGCTGTAGTAGACTGGTTCACCCAGTTGGTAGTTCATAGCCTACATTCTTAAAAAAGACGCTTCTTCAAGGGTTCTTTAGTAAAGAAAATGGTTCTATATAGTACCATGAACTTTCAAAGAACCCTTTACATGATTAAAGGGTTCTTTGCATCATGAAATGTTTTTTCAGATTAATGGAGAATTTGTTACCCTTTTTGAAAAAGGTTCTTCTGTTGTTTCGATCTCAGGCTTGTTACAATAGAAGAACCCTTTTTGGTGCTATGTAGAACCCTTCTCAAAAGGCTCTATCTAGACCCATCTACAGCACATTCTGCTTCAATGCTTTCACGATGCAAAGAACCCTTTTATCATGCAAAGGGTTCTTTGAATGTTCATGGTTCTATGTAGAACCATTTTTATTAAAGAACCCTTGGAGAACCATCGTCATTAAGTGTGAATGAACCCTTTGCCTGGTTAAAGTGTTCTTTGCATGGTGAAATAGTTCTTCAGATTTATGGAGAATGTGCTATAGATGGTTCTAGATAGAACCTGTTTGACAAGGGTTCTTTATTGCACCAAAAAGGGTTCTTCAAGTGTTACGATCTCAGGCCTGTTACAATAGAAGAACCCTTTTTTGGTGCTATGAAGCACCATATATAGAACCATATGTAACACATTTTCCGTCAATCTGTAGAACCCGTTTATGATGCAAAAACCCTTTAATCATGCGAAGGGTTCTTTGAATGTTCATGGTTCTATGTTTTCTTTATTAAAGAACCCTTGAAGAACCATCATTGTTAAGTATCAATGAACCCTTTGCATCAATTTG